ATATTGTCCAAGATTAACCTTCAGGGTGGATATAGCTCGCTAGCAGCCTCGCACCGAGGACCTGTCCACGTCATCATTTACCCAGAATGCTTTGTGTGGAAATAAAATGGCTCCGTCCATTTAATATATTTTTATATTTTTAGTATAAAAATGATAAAAACTAAACAGCCTACAGTATTTTAACAGTCTTTATTTTACAGTTAAAATATGTTTATTAAATAAAGTCTAATGTTACAACTAATCATGGATCCCTTTAAGAATTGGTGGTTGGTTTGTGTGCAAAACCTTTAAACAAAGTCACAATCAGTTATATGTTGTGAAAGAAAAAATAAAGAAATGTAATCTAATTCTTCATGAAAGACGATTAGGGCCACAGGAAAAAAAACGTTATTTTTTCCTAAGTTCAAAATATTGAACTGAGAATTCTGAGAAAAAAAAACAGAATCTCCACTTAGATCATAAAATTCTGAGAAAAAAAAACAATGTTGACTTTGATTAGAATTCTTAGGGAAAAAGAAAACAGAATTTTGACTTTGATCTCAGAGTTCTGTGAAAACGTCAGAACTCAAGAAATAATTTTTTTTTTTGCTCTGTGGCCCGAATCACCTTCTGTAAATTCTTATCGAACAAACATTACTTGAATAAGACTTTGCTTTTCTCCACTGTGTTTCCTCATACATCATTCAAATCCTCTAACTGATCTTTTAAAGTCTTCTTACAATGGTCTCTAACAGTTTAATATTTGATGGAGCAGGAGTTTAAACAGATTTGATTTTAAATCTGAGACGAGGTTCAGCGTTGGAGGAGCTCCAACTTCAAACAGAGGAACTCTGAAATGAACAGAGACGTATGTTTAACATCCTCTAACAGCAACAGAGCTGAGTGAAACACGGAGCGAAGGCAAACATTTAGATAAAAAACAAAAAAGAGGAAAACCTTTAGCTGTAAGAGACAGAGTTAAAATTTTTCCTCTACTTTATCTTTCTTTTTGACAGTCGTTTGCAGAAAACTGTATAATTAACTAAAAGCAGCTGCTTATTTTAGGGAAAAAAGCATTTTCAATCAAACTGTTGTGAAGTATCTCCAACCTCACGTAAATTACCGTGTTCACAATGTATCAATTAAAAAAAAAAAACCAAAGTGACAATGAAGTCACAACAAGAGGCAGTTAGGAAACATGACAAAGTGCGACAATAGATGAGGTAATTCCGTCCCGTCACTGACAAATGTGACAGCATTACGAGATGCATTTGCATAGCAGCTGTTCCACTACACAGGGCTGGATTTATTGAACTGGCAATTACCAGCATGGCTCCGTGCCATCTGTCATCCAGCGGCAGCAGAGAAATTAAAAGTAACAGCTGTGAGTTTACTGTGGAGGTAAGGGCGAGTTAAAGCATCTCGCTCGGCAGAGGAAGAGGTGCATGTCAGCTGGGGTTAGTCGTGGGGGGGGGGGGGGGACGCATTTTCTCTCTGAGCTATCACCTGTTTATCATTTGTTTTCTTTTCTGTCTAAAACTGGCTCCAAGCCACACATTACCATCCGTCATCATGGTGCGTGTTCATTGTTTACGATGGCACAAGACCTAAATTACATCCATTCAGAGTTAATACAGAGGGATTTCTGCAATCAGGGGGTTTTTTAGAGAGCAACCAAAAATAAGCGGTCATTGCACAAACAAATCAGCCTATTATTTGTTTGGGTTTTTTATACTATTCTTTTTGCTGTTTTTGTTTCTTTAACCAGTTTTTACTCAATTCCAAAATAAAAGCCTTCAGCTGTTTTTAAAGAGTGACAAAAAAAGAAATGTGTTGATCAAGGAGTTCAACACAGACTTCACTGAAACACAGCTGAGGTGATCGGTTTTGGTCTGAATTTATTCCAAAAGACAAACTGTCCTGGAATAAATTTACAGAACAAAGATATTTGTTTCGTCTTGATTAGAAATGTAATCTACACCGGGTAAAATAAGTATTGAACACGTCACCATTTTTCTCAGTAAATATTTTACTAGAGGAACTAATGACATGAAATTTTCACCAGATGTYGGTAACAACCCAAGTGATCCATACATACAAAGAAATCAAACCATAAATGTCCAGAAATGAAGTTATTTGTAATAATGTGGAATGGCACAGGGAAAAAGTATTGAACACACTYACTGAAATTTATCTAATACTTTGTACAAAAGCCTTTGTTGTCAATGGCAGCTTCAAGACTCCTCCTGTATGGAGAAACTAGTGGCATGCATTGCTCAGGTGTGATTTTGGCCCATTCTTCCACACAAACAGTCCTCAAATCTTGAAGGTTTCGTGGACCTCTTCTATGAACTCTGATCTTTAGTTCTTTCCATAGATTTTCTGTTGGATTCAGGTCAGGTGATTGGCTGGGCCATTCCAGCAGCTTTAGTTTCTTTCTCTGAAACCAACTGAGAGTTTCCTTGGCTTTGTGTTTGGGCTCATTGTCTTGCTGAAATGTCCAGCCACGTTTCATCTTCATCATCCTGGTAGATGGAAGCAGATTTTTATCAAGAATGTCTCTGTACATTTTTCCACTCATCCTTCCTTCAATTATTTGAAGTTTGCCAGTACCATATGCTGAAAAACAGCCCCACACCATGATGTTCCCACCTCCAAACTTCACTGTTGGTATGGTGTTTTTGGGCTGATGTGCAGTGCCATTTGACCTCCAAACATGATGTGTATTCTGGCATCCAAACAGTTCAATGTTGGTCTCATCTGACCAGACTATATACTCCCAGTATTACACAGGCTTGTCTAAATGTTGTGCAGCAAACTTTAAAGGAGCTTCAACATGCTGTTTCTTCAGCAGTGGAGTCTTGCGTGGTGAGCGTGCATACAGGCCATGGTGGTTCAGTGCATTACTTATTGTTTTCTTTGAAACAATCGTACCTGCTAATTCCAGGTCTTTCTGAAGCTCTCCACAAGTGGTCCTTGGCTCTTGGACAACTCTTCTGATAATTCTTTTCACTCCTCTGTCAGAAATCTTGTGAGGAGCACCTGGTCGTGGTCGGTTTATGGTGAAATAATGTTCTTTCCACTTCTGAATTATGGCCCCAACAGTGCTCACTGGAACCTTCAGAAGTTTAGACATTCTTCTGTAACCGATGCCATCATTATGCTTTGCAACAATAAGGTTGTGAAGGTCTTGAGAGAGCTCTTTACTTTTACCCATCATCAGATGGTTCTTGTGTGATACCTGGCCATCATTTGGGACTGAACCAGCTGATATTAACTTGCACTGACAAGGGGCAGGCTTGTTTTCCAATTACTGAGAGAGTTCAGCTGGTGTCTTGTCTTTCCATGCCTTTTTACACCTCCCTTTCTTCATGTGTTCAATACTTTTTCCCTGTGCCATTCCACATTATTACAAATAACTTCATTTCTGGACATTTATGGTTTGATTTCTTTGTATGTATGGATCACTTGGGTTGTTACCAACATCTGGAGAAAATTTCATGTCATTAGCACCTCTAGTAATATATTTACTGAGAAAAATGKTGACRTGTTCAATACTTATTTTACCCGCAGTTTCTGCGAAATACAAAATCTTCACACAGATCAAAAACAAACTGCGTCCTCTGATCTGAGGTGTTTTGCTGCAGTTTAACACAGAAACTCAGGTCCCACACCCACGGGTCACGCATGAAATTCCACAGAGTTTAGAGTCACACCTGAGTAATCATCACCTGTCTCTGTGTCGCTCCCCTAACAGAACCCTCAGTGGATTTTAGACAAACACCTGGAGTCACTGCTCTCACTGTCGCTGCCTATTAGCCAATAATAAACCTCGTCGCTAAGTTTATTATAGCAAAACACCTGAATCACCTTCTTTTTTCACCTGTGAAATAAAGCATATAAGTGTGAGCTGCACCTGCTGGCGCAGAAATATGAAATTCAACATATCGTACTGATGACGAGGTTTTATATTTAGTCTCACTTTATTTAGGAAAAAAGCATTTATTGACAGTTTTTCAGTTATATGGGTGATATTATGGATTATTGTGTTCCTGTCAAAGAACCAACACTTGTTTTTAAAGTTTTACCCTCCTGTGTTCATTTCTGAGGAGCAGCAGTGATGTTCCTGGGTCAGTTTGACTTGAGGATATTTAATCAAGAGAGTCAGAAACAAATATATATTATATATATATGTATATATATATAAAATTTATAAAATCCCAAAACAATTTTATTAACTCTATTAATAACCACTGCAACCAGATGTTTGTTTTTTTATTTTTAAAGATAAATGATCAATGAGCACCATTCACTTGTTTTTCATCAAAAATGCACATTACATTTTTTATGTCCACTGAAAAAAACCTACACACAATAAAAACAATATAGTTTTTTTACGTTTTGATCTATAATATATGCAGGGGGAAGGTGTATTTATGTGAATTTAAGCATCTTCATTTTATACGTTGATCACATTTATTAAGACAAATAGAAATAAATATTTTATACAGAATAAGTATTTTTAAAAAGTATTATAAATTTTAAAATGGGCCAATTTGTCCTGCAACATAACGACAATTAAGAATAAAAAAGACACCATAACTGTTGGGTTGTCCTGCTTTTAAAACAGTGATGCTGTTTGAGTGTTTTATTCTCTGCATGTTCATGTTTTTAATTCCCTCCAACAAGGGCAACACTTTGGAAAACAATATATAATGTAGGGTACCCAGTTAGTACCATGAACTTATACCAAAACTAAGAAATATGCTCCTTATTACCCCAAAATTAAACTCACTTGAGTATGACACAGCCGGTTCCGCTGGGTGGTGCGGTCCAAAAGACCTGAATCCTGGTCCTCCTGCGGGGCGTGCTCTCTGTCACTGCAGGAAGGCAGTTGGTCATGAACTGTGTGTCTTCATCATCGATGATCTGAAAGAAAAAAAAAAAGGGCAAAGTTTTATTTTCTTACATTAATTTAAAGCAGAATCTCATTAGGAATAACTTCTAACAGCTGATTTGTTTGTTGTCCCTTATCAGGTTGAAAAGACAAATCTGTAATAAAATAAAATCAAATCGATGAGCACAGACAGACATGTGGCTGGACGACACATTTATTAGTCTTATTAGAGCAAATTACTGCCCAGTGGCTTTTAACTAGTTTCACTTTTACTTCTTTAGTGGACTTTAGCTTTATAGCTCATTAAAAATAAGAAAAACAGTTTATTCCAGGACTGAATTCAGCTCACAGCTTCAAATGATGAACTATAAACACGTCTAGTTAAAACTGACTGAACTTTATAGTTTATATAAACAGGAAAAAAGTCTTGAAGTGGAATAAATTAATGATGATCACTTTAATGTTTCTGTGTTTAACACCAGCTGGAGATGAAAGCGGAGCTGTGGGAAAAGAGAAGTCCCAAAGTCACATTTTGTATAACAAGAGACTTGTGTATTCAGGACAAGTCTGGCCCAGTTCCTTCAGTTCTTGGTCTTTGTCAGAAACCGTTTCAACCAACAGGAAGACAGAAACAAACGTGACCTCTGACCTCGTAGCTCCTGTTCTCCAGCTGACAACGACCAAACATTTATAGCACAAAAAAACACAACAAAACTTATTCAAACTCTTTTTTTTTCTTTTCATTTCTGAAAAAAAGATTTCCATATGTCTGTGTGCTGACTTGTTCTCATTCTGTTTTATTTTGTTTCATCCATGGGGGTTCTGTCACCCGACAAGAAGCAGGGATAAAAGAGACAAACATAAAACACGAAGCCAGAAAACTGTTTGGTGACAGAAATGTGGAAATATTACAAAAAAATTATTTTTTGTAACTGGATCTGTGCTAAGATCATATTCAGACACAACAGTGGTTAAATATAAAAGTGTTCTCCTGTTAGGGTCTGTTCTCCTTCATGTTCCATTAACACCATATGCTGACCTTTATTAATAAAGTTTAACTTGGTATATTTTAGAATAATGATGTTTTTTCATGTGAACTCACACAGAGGCCAAAACAAAGTGAGTAAGAACAGAACCAGGGTCTTTCTAACCATCAGTTCTAAGTAGAGTTTCAGAATAAACCCAGGATCACGTCTCTGTGCAGAACCTGACGTTAAACTAAAATAAACCGAGGCTCCATCCAGCTGATTTTTATTTGACCGTGGTAACAAACTGATTAAACCTTTTATTGTTTGGGGAATTAAAAACATAATGTGTAAATTAATGACATCATCTACTTAAATCCAGTTAAGATCAATTATGTGAACAGTAAATGCCAGAACAATGGTTGCATTTGTCCCTGTATTGGGCGAAAAGTGATGCTTTTAAATATCAATCAGATGCTGTTTGAATATAAATCATGTGTGTTGGGGTCTTCATAACAACAAATAGATTATAATAAGAAGACAAAAATATTATTATGACCCCCGCACTGTATATTATTATTTTATTTATTTATTTATTTATTTATTTTCAATGATATCAGTCAACCGTCTACAGAAACGGCTGCACCGATCAGCATGAAATCTGGCAGGACTGTAGATGAGTCTGACCTACACTGCTCCAGACAACAGTTTTATGATGAACCCCATATTTGAGCAGGGGGCTCCATCTGAAAAGAGGGTGTCTGGACATACAAAAATGCTTATAACTGAAAAACTATTTAACATAGGAGGTCCAGATTTTTTGTTTAGCTCAGATGAAGGACTATCTATTGGGTGCACCATCAATGAGCCCTCACCACACCCACCCGGACCCCAACCCAAAACAATGAATCTGTTCTGGTGAGTTCTGGTGCATTGATGCTTTGTGCAGGGATCATACATGCTACTGCTATGCGGTATCTAGGTTTATATTATATTATATATATATATATATATATATATATATACACTCACCGGCCACTTTATTAGGTACACCACACTAGTAATGGGTTGGACCCCCTTTTGCCTTCAGAACTGCCTCAATTCTTCGTGGCATAGATTCAACAAGGTGCTGGAAGCATTCCTCAGAGATTTTGGTCCATATTGACATGATGGCATCACACAGTTGCTGCAGATTTGTCGGCTGCACATCCATGATGCGAATCTCCCGTTCCACCACATCCCAAAGATGCTCTATTGGATTGAGATCTGGTGACTGTGGAGGCCATTTGAGTACAGTGAACTCATTGTCATGTTCAAGAAACCAGTCTGAGATGATTGCAGCTTTATGACATGGCGCATTATCCTGCTGAAAGTAGCCATCAGATGTTGGGTACATTGTGGTCATAAAGGGATGGACATGGTCAGCAACAATACTCAGGTAGGCTGTGGCGTTGCAACGATGCTCAATTGGTACCAAGGGGCCCAAAGAGTGCCAAGAAAAGATTCCCCACACCATGACACCACCACCACCAGCCTGAACCGTTGATACAAGGCAGGATGGATCCATGCTTTCATGTTGTTGACGCCAAATTCTGACCCTACCATCCGAATGTCGCAGCAGAAATCAAGACTCATCAGACCAGGCAACGTTTTTCCAATCTTCTCTTGTCCAATTTCGATGAGCTTGTGCAAATTGTAGCCTCAGTTTCCTGTTCTTAGCTGAAAGGAGTGGCACCCRGTGTGGTCTTCTGCTGCTGAAGCCCATCTGCCTCAAAGTTCCACATGTTGTGTGTTCAGAGATGCTCTTCTGCCTACCTTGGTTGTAACGGGTGGTTATTTGAGTCACTGTTGCCTTTCTATCAGCTCGAACCAGTCTGCCCATTCTCCTCTGACCTCTGGCATCAACAAGGCATTTCCGCCCACAGGACTGCCGCTCACTGGATGTTTTTTCTTTTTCGGACCATTCTCTGTAAACCCTAGAGATGGTTGTGCGTGAAAATCCCAGTAGATCAGCAGTTTCTGAAATACTCAGACCAGCCCTTCTGGCACCAACAACCATGCCACGTTCAAAGGCACTCAAATCACCTTTCTTCCCCATGCTGATGCTCGGTTTGAACTGCAGGAGATTGTCTTGACCATGTCTACATGCCTAAATGCACTGAGTTGCCGCCATGTGATTGGCTGATTAGAAATTAAGTGTTAACGAGCAGTTGGACAGGTGTACCTAATAAAGTGGCCGGTGAGTGTATATATATATATAGGTACTGGCATGACAAGTCAAACTGATTTCAAATAAACAAATTTTTAGCAGCTATAGTTGATAATCAATATGTATCTGCAAAAACTGGAAGAGGAATTAAAAGAAAAAAGGGAGTTGAGTGTGGGAAGACTGTAAAACCGAAGCGTTTGTTTTCTCTGCAGCGTCTGGCACGTCTGTGAAAAGTCCACGGTTTGTCCGTTTCAATCCCTCTCAATCTCCTGCTCTCTGTTCAGACGGTAAACACAGATGCTTCGGTGTGCCTGCGTGAACAAATGCAGAGCTCTGTTCAAACACGCGCACACACACACACGCGCACACACAACACAAAGAGCCGGGTGACAGACACGGCAGTCCTTGGAGAAATCGGACAAAAAACGGGGGGTGATAGCAGGTGTGTGTGTTTGTTGGTCACCACCTTCTTTAGGGTTGGCAGTTAAACGCCGATCAGTTGCAAAGTAGTGAAAACAGTTCAAAACTCTGAGACCCGAGTCCAAATAATAAGAAGCAAAAGGCAGACAGAAAGATGGATTGAAATGTCTCGTCAGCACTTGAAGATGAGCTTGTTTCGGAGAATAACAAAGTTTTCTTGTCTCGATGAAGACCTTGGAGGCACCGACGTTTTGCCTCGAGCTTTCCATCAATCAAAGCTGGTACCATTACAGCAGAACACCTCTGGGATCTTACGGCTACCATCAATATTGCATCATATTACAATTTATGTCTGAGCCACCCAACCCTGGCAGCAGCGCAACACAAAGAAAAAAAAACAGCTACTGAGAAATTTGATTCGTTTTTTAACAAATCCTTTGGATTCTGTAGCTCTTCAAACAGTGGGATAAATACTGAACCAATGGGCCTCAAAATCTACTTTTTAATTTTCACAAATGAATCCAGAGTATTTATTTTTATTTTTACTTTATTTTTATTTGTTTTTTGAGGGGGTGGCCTTTTTAATGTCGACTCAGAACTTGAAATATTGAAATATATTTCAGTATAATTACTTTATTGTACAGTACCCATTCGGAGACAATGGATAAGAATAAAAGAAAAAAAATTGTGGCCACGAGATAAATAATGCATGGTCACAAGATAATTTTGAGCAGCCATGTCTCCTTGTAAAAGACAAAAACATTGTTGAAGTCTGATTATATATAAATAGCCAACATTATTAACTGTTTTATTGTTATAATTTGACGTATGTTTAATCTAAACGTCTCAAGTAATCCATTTAAATAATCTGTGATGTAATTTTTTATTAGTATTTTTATTTTATAGTTCCTTATATAATATATATATA